GAAGGAGGATCTGTTGAAACAGCTGGACTATCTGAAAGTGGAGCTTTCCCAGCTGTGCATCGCCATGGTGACAGGCGATGTGAGCTGCTAAGCTCTCCTAAATCTGAGTTGTTAGAAAATCCATTGTCCATGTTCTCACTGTTCTTAACCAGACTCAGAAGGAAAATCTCAGAAATTGCTGTAAGGGCAAGAAGTACAAACCCTGTATCTGAAACCCAAGAAAACACGTGCCATGCGAAAGATCAACAAGCCTGAGGAGAACCTGAAGACCAAGAAGCAGCAGCGAAAGGAGTGCCTGTACCCACTGGAGAAATATGCAATCAAGGCCTGAACGTCTTATATAAATCAAACACAAAACTAAACAAACAAAAAAGATTAAACACGGCAGTCCACAGAAGATTCTTCAGATCTTCCTGTCATTGCCAAGGTTTTGTTTTGGAGCATACCTCAGTAAGCAGTTTACAACTCCAACCTGGACTTCCATGCTTGTGCTTCCCAGTTCCCCTGAGTTTGGAGCATAGGGTGTTCTCAGATCTTTCCGAGAATCTACACAGCCTGGAGGGTGTACATGTGGATGGATGGCTTTTGCTCTGGACATCTTTCTCTCCATCTTATCACTTTGTTTCTTCCTTTCACTCTTTTGGAGCCACCTCTTAATCTACCCTGTTTTAATCCCGTTACTTCATATGATTGTAGAGTTCATTCTATAGTTGCCTCAAGCTTAAATGTATTTATGTCCAAATAAGACCAATGAGGCTTTTTGCGTGAACCATAGACATGTAAATTAACAACAGTCCTCTGAGAAAGATTTGAGGATCATCTAACCCTGTTTTGCCTGACTGGGCTTCTGGGTCTTAAAACTACCATGATCTTTGAGAATGGGTGGAGAGTACAAATTGGCAAGGTAAAACACTACAAACATCCAACTTGTTCTTCATGAGTAGTTTTGCCAAATTGCACACCTTTGGTTAATTTATAAAAACAATAGTTATGGCAATTATTACCAGGTTTTTTCTTCTTTTGTAGTTGGAAATATTTTTAGATCATAGTCAATTTTTGCCCTCCTGTTTCTTTTTTACATTCTATTCTATTTTAATTCTATTTGGTCTCATCATAATTCTTAGTTTTAATGTCTTCTCTCGTTGTTTTAAAACTTACCTTTTTTTTTGTTTAATTTTTTTTTAATTTTAAAGAAAGTTTACAGAAAAGGTAGGTTTTCATTCATTCATTGCTACACAATTTCCTCCCTCCCTGCCTCTTTCTTCACTCAGTCCACTTTGCAATGCCCCTTTTTTTTTAATTTAAAAAAAAATAATTTTAATGAGCATTTACAGAGATTTTGGATTTCCATTCATTCATTGCTGCACTTCTTCCCCCCCCCCCCCCCCCCGGTTCGCTCCTCTCTTTCAAAAGTAAAAGAAACACTCCTTCCCTGGTACACAATCCCCCCTGCACCCCTCCCACCACCCGAAGTACATTCCACTGTGCAACCTTATTGTGCACTCTTGTGATAACCATAATACCCTATCATACATCGCTTTTAAATTATTCACTCCCTCATCTGTTTCAGTGCAGTATACACAATTTATCCAGTTTTTGTTCCTGGTTGTTCATACATGTAATACCTAATCATATATTTCTTTCAGACAGTTACTCCACTCATCTTTTCTAGTGCAGTATTCATTATCTATCCATTCTTTTCCTATTCTCCAAAACCCCTATGCCTATTTTATTTTAGAATAACTTTTTTGCTCTTTTTTTTTTTACTGAGGTATTTCACACATCATAATATAATGTCTGTAGCCTTACTTATATTGTATGTTTTATGAGTTCTTTCTTTTTCTTTTTTCTTCCAGTGTATTCCATTGTGTGAGGGTGCCATTGTCTTTCTGTCCATTACTTTGTTGATGGACTCTTGGGTTGCTTCAGTCTCTTTACTTTTGTGAATAATGGCAGTAAATATATGTGTACATACATCTGTTTGAGTTGTGGTTCTGGTTTCTTTATTGTATATTCCCAGTAGTGGAATTGGTGGGTCTAATGATATTTCTATTTCTAACGGATGGTGAAGAGATTGAGATTGTTCACAGCTTCAGTTTGCTCGGCTCCACAGCCAACACTCTTGGCACCAGCAGCCAAGAAATCAAAAAACGTATTGCGATGGGTAAGTCTGCTGTTAGGGACCTCTCTAACGTACCCAAAAGCAACGGTGTCTCTTTGGAGACGAAGGTTTGCCTGATACAGGCCATAGTCTTTGCAATCAATTGTTATGCATCAGAGAGCTGGACAATGACTAGGGAGGACAGAAGGAGAATTGACGCCTTTGAGATGTGGTGCTGGAGAAGCGTATTGAATGTACCATGGACTGCCAAGAAAACAAACAGATTCATCCTAGAGAGGGTTAAACCAGGCTACTCCTTGGAGGCAAGGATTCTGGGGCTTGGTCTGACATATTTTGGGCATGTTGTAAGGAGAGGCCAGTCCTTGGAGAAGGACATCATGCTTGGGAGGGTGGAGGGTAGGCGCAGGAGGGGAAGGCCCTCTAGGAGGTGGATTGATTCGATGACTAGGGTAATCAGGATGGATGTGTCGGAGACAGTGAGATGGGCACAGGACAGAGCAGAGTGTAGGGCTGTTTTACATAGGGTCGCTATGAGTCGCAAGTGACTCGACGGCACATAACAACAACAACATTATTATCGATTTTAATGAAAGTTTACAGAGAGTGGATTTCCATTCATTCATTGTTGCACTTTTCTCCCTGCCAACCTCCCCCGCCCCAGGTACACTCTTCTCTTTGAAAAGTAGAAGAAAAATTCTTTCATTGTTATACAATCCCTCCTTCCAAGTCCACTCCACTATGCAGTCTTCATTCTGGACACCCGTCATGACAAAAATGCCTAATCATATATCCCTTTTAAACAGTTCTTTCTCTTGTCTGTTTCAGTGCAGTATACATAATTTATCCCATCTTTCTCAGTCTCCCCCAACCCCAAGGACAGTCCCATTCTACAACAGTGGCATCATGTAATATTTGTCCTTTTGTGACTGGGATATTTCACTCAGCATA